TTTTTTTTTTTTAGAAATTCCAAAAAAAAATCAAATAGATTTAAAGAAGAATCGAAAAAAGCATTTCAAGAATGGAAGAAAAAAAAAGATGAAAGTTTAAAAAAAAAAAGAGAAAAAGAAAAAAAATTAGAAAATGATAAAATGATTCGATTGGAAAATGAAAAAAAAGAAAAAAAAATTCTAGCAGAAAAAGTATCGAAAAAATTATTAATTTTATCAAAGTTTTTTTTTTTGTTAACATAATAGATAATCATTTGTGTTGACGATATTTGATTTTTAGGTTTTCCAACAGTGGAAAAATAATATTAACAAAAAAAAAAAAAGAAATAAAAAAAAAAATTTATTAATAACTCGAAAAGAAGAGGATGATGATGGTAATAAAAAAAAAGAAAGAAATGAAAAAATGTTCATGTATTGGAAAAAAAAAAAAGATAAAGAAATTATGGAAAAAATAAGAAGAGAAAAGTAAAAAATGATAAAAAAATGGTTTATGACTTGATGGTTAATTGACTTATTTATGACTAAAACTTATTAAATTTCATTTCAGGAATTTTAATAAAATAATTGAAAATGAAAAAACAAAATTTGCAAATCAGAGGCTCATCGATTGTCAAAAAGCTTTCGAAGATTGGCTAAATAAAATAGATGAAAGAAATATGAGTTTAACAATTCCTAAAAAAAAAAAGAGGCCATGGTATCCAGTATAATTAAATTTTTATTACATGGCTTAACATGATTAACTAATATTTACATTATTTATTTTCCTATAAAAAAAAATTATAATTTAGAAATTTTTTTTTTTTTTTTTTTTTTTAACCATTGTTAATTTTATTTAAATCGACTTTTTTTTTTGATTCAATTATATATATTCCAATGAGGGCTGCACTAAATGTAAAACCTTGAGCCAATACTCTGAATCTCATCATTTTTTGCTGCTGTTTACTGTCTCCTTTTCTTAAGTTAATAAGACCCATAACTAAAGCAGCTGTCGTTGCGAGAGCACCTAAAAAAAAAATTTAATAATTGTTATATTTAATAATTGTTTCACTTTCAGAAAATTTAATTATTGTTATGTAATGACATTATAACTAAATAAAATTAAATTAAATTAAAATGAGCAATTTTTTTTTTTTTTTTTTAAACACTTAAAGTTTTATTTTATTTTTGAATGTAATTGATCTTTAGAAAAATTAAATAAAATTTTTACACAAAAAGAATAATCAATTATTTGTTTTTTAAACTTATCAAATTATAAAAAAAATTTTTTAAATATATAAAAATTATTACTAACCAATGGGTACAAATGGATTTTGTAGAAATTTATTTGGTCTCTCTTCTTTTGAAGTAGGTATCTGTATCCACTTGAGTTCATCTTGAATACTTAAATTATTTACATTAGAAGATTCCATTTTACTCATTTTAAAAATTAATTCAATAAAAATTCTTATTTAATGTGATTTTATTCACAATATAATAAAATTATTTTGTTTTTTTTTAATTAATAAAATTAATATTTACATTTAACTGAAAAACCATAGACGGTCAAGTTTTTTTTGTTAAGCATTTCGCGAAAAAATTACTTTTGAAATTTTCGTTAACCGTTTTTTTTATGTAGAAAAAAAATTTTCTATTAAATAATATTCGTAATTTTAATTTTTTTTTTTTTAATCGAATCGTATTTTACAGTTTTTAAATTTAAAAGCACACGATAATTATACGTTTAACGTTTTCTTTATGCTGCTTAAGAACTAAAATTGATTTTGAAAAAAAAAAAAAAAAAAAAAAAAAAATTATTAATAAACAAATTACCTGCTTTATCTAGCGTACATTAAAAGAAAATATTTATTTTATAACTATTATTATTTATTTTTCTATCGAAATTTTATTAATTTTAAAATTTTATTATTAAATTGTTATTTATTTATTTTTCTAAGATTATTCATAAAGTAATAGTGTAAATACCAAAGGTTACAAAAAAAAAAACAAGTTCAATAAATATGTGATTTAAGCAAATTTTTTATTTTTTTATGTATTTATTTAAAAACAATATTTTTCGATAGAAGACTTTTTTAAAGTTTTTTTTATTTTTATTTTTCAGTGAAAAGTATAATACATTTTTAGAATAATGAGTCATTTATATTTAAATTTGATATTTTTAGATTTTTACAGTTTTGGCATTCATGAGTAATTAAGTATATTTAGGTATTTTGACGCCAGAGGTCGCGTCGTCAGTTTAAATGTTAGGAGCCATAGTATTAAAATTAACCTTTAATATTTAGAACAAACCAAAGTGTCGTTTATAAAGAAGCTAAAAGAAAAATTGTGCATGTAAAAAAAGAGAAAAAAAATTATTTTAATAACTTATTTAATAATAAACTGTTTAAATTAATATGAAATGAAATTGTTATTGTTGGTGGAAATTTAAAAATCAATAGGTGAATAAAGGTTTTTAAAATTACTAGTTAAATTCGCATGCGTAAGCACAAAATATACTAAATAGGCTTCAAAGCTATATTCTCTACTGTTTTATAAAGTTTTATTTTTTTAATTAAATACTTTTGTAAATATAAAAAAAAATGTTTAATCAGGATTACGAAAAAAGACTTTATTTAAAACAACAGTGTGAATTTGCGGAAAATATTCCTCAAATAGGTGAAATAAATGTTTCACCCATTACTTCGCCGTTGGCCAAGCCAATGCTTGAGAGATTTCGATCTCCTACAAAGTGTCCCAATGCGGATAGATTCATACCATCTAGGTCAGAAAATTGGGAAACAAAATATGCTATGATATCAGAGAATAGTTCCATACCAGCATTAAGAAAAGCTAGGGAATCTGGTGAAACAGGAAGAGATGGCTTAGCCTATTCTTATTTACTAAAAAATGAAGTCTTAGGATCAAACATTGAGGATATTAAAACAAATTGTGATGAAAGAAGAGCCCTATCAACTATTGAAGGCTCTAACTTGTTTCATTATCAGTCTCCTAAAAAAAGGCTAGATTTTAATGAACCAACAACACCTTATTCACTATCACCAGTTAGTTGCTACAGTCAAAAACTTTTACGTTCACCAAGGAAGGCAACAAGAAAAATATCAAGAATACCATTTAAAGTTTTAGATGCACCTGAGTTACAAGATGATTTTTATTTAAATTTGGTGGATTGGTCATCTCAAAATGTATTAAGTGTTGGATTAGGTAGTTGTGTGTACTTGTGGTCGGCTTGTAATAGTCAAGTTACTAGATTATGTGATTTATCCAGTGATGGAAACTCAGTGACTTCTGTGGCATGGAATGAAAGAGGAAATTTAGTTGCTGTCGGTACTCATCATGGTCAAGTACAAGTGTGGGATGTTACAGCTGGAAAACAGGTGAATAATT